AAATTAGACGCTGTTATCTCGCGAAAGATATTTGGAATAGAGAGTAACCGCTCAACTATTCCGAGAATGTTAATAGATAGTCATGTTTGTTGAAACAGCCTTCAAGAAATTGTACTTCAACCGTATTGATACTGGCTCTGCTCCAGCTATAACAGCTGATCGAATCGTTCTCGAAAGTTAAACCGATAAATCTTGTTTTATTGGGAGATCCTCGCGTGTGACGTGTGTAACCTGCATCTAAATTGAAGTTAACGACTTCGAAAATGGATGTTTTGGTAATTTCGCATGATACGATGCACGTCTTCTTCGAGGAAGAACTTTGTTCCTTGTTGTTGCTATTTCTGCCGGTGCTTGGCTTGAAAGCTGTTTCGAGAGCTTTGAGAACAATCGTTATTTTTCACTTTGGTTTGGAATATTATTACCTATCGTTGATTATGTTTTCAATCGAAAATGTTTTGCAACGCTTAAAGACCACATTTTCCTGCCTCTTGTGAAACATTTGTAAAGGAATTTACAATGTAGAAAACTATTCCATCCGCTAAATATTGTAACAAATATTTCACGTGAGCAGCGTGTGTATTGTAAAGAAAAATCTCTCTTTCCATTTGATCGAAGAAACATATTGTAGATCGCAGTAAACTCCCCGTTATGTGAACGAGTTAAAATCACTATAAAAATATAAACGGTGTTCGATGTTTTGGTGCACGACGAACCTCATATTGTCACGTCATCAATAAATGTGCGATTGTCAAGCTAAAAAAAAAAAAAAAAAAAAAAAGAACAATTTCTACATATTTTCGACACTGAAGCAACCATTCAAGGCTGTCTCATTTCATTGTCGATTGATAAGCAAGAGCAAAAAGTGCCCCGGCACGAAACTCAGAAAAATCCGACAGCCAACAGCGATGACGCAGCGATCGTGTTTCCTCTTTTTTTTTTTTTTTTTTTTGGAATCACGGTGTATAACAGGTCGAGAGAGGAGGACGCACCTGAATAATGTCCTGGGACATCGGGGGCTGACGTTTGTCGTGGCAGTGCCTAGCGTGTTATCGTTCCACCTACCATGTACTAGCCTAACGTAGAATCCCTCCACTTTTCCCCCCTTTAGACTTGCCAGCCATACCAGAGCCTGGTTTTCTGGCTTCCAACGACGTTCGATTCATCCTGTTCACCGAGACTCATAATTGTCCCCCGTCGGAGTTGGCATATCGCGGAAGCAACCCCAAAGGGAGGGGGGGGGG